TAACCAAGGGGGTGAAAGACCTCTACAAGGAAAACTATAAACCACTGCTGAAAGAAATCACAGATGACACAAACAAATGGAAACACATACCATGCTCATGGATGGGTAGAATCAATATTGTGAAAATGACCATTCTGCCAAAAGCAATCTACAGACTCAATGCAATTCCCATCACAATTCCTATCAAAATACCACCAACATTCTTCACAGAATTAGAAAAAAACTATTCTAAAATTCATATGGAACCAAAAAAGAGCCTGCATGGCCAATGCAAGACTAGGAAAAAAGAATAAATCTGGAGGCATCACATTACCTGATTTCAAACTATACTATAAGGCCACAGTCATCAAAACAGCATGGTACTGTTATAAAAATAGGCACATAGACAGTGGAAAAGAATAGAGAACCCAGAGATAAAGCCAAATACAGCCAACTGATCTTTGACAAAGTAAACAAAAACACAAAGTAGGGAAAGCATACCCTTTTCAACAAATAGTGCTGGGATAATTGGCTAGTCACATGTAGGAGAATGAAACTGGATCCTCATCTGTCACCTTTTACAAAAATCAACTCAAGATGGATTAAGGACTTAAATCTAAGACCTGAAACTATAAAAATTCTAGAAGATAACACTGGGAAAACCCTTCTAGACATTGGCTTGGACAAAGATTTCATGACGAAGAACCCAAAAGCAAATGTAATAAAAACAAAGATAAATTGCTAGGACTTAAAGAGGTTTTGCACAGTGAAAGGAACAGTCAGCAAGTAAACAGACAACCCACAGAGTGGGAAAAAGTCTTCACGATCTATACATCTGACAAAGGACTAATATCCAGAATCTACAATGAACTCATATCAACAAGAAAAGATAATCCCATCAAAAAGTGGGCTAATGACATGAATAGACAATTCTCACAAGAAGATATACAAATGGCCAACAAACATATAAAAAATGCTCAATGTCACTAATGATCAGGGAAACGCAAATCAAAACCACAATGCAAACCACCTTACCCCTGCAAAACAAAACAAAACAAAACAAAAAACCCAAAAACAAACAAACAAAAAAACCAGTAGATGTTGGCACGGCTGCAGTGAAGAGGGAACACTTCCACACTGCTGGTGGGAATGTAAACTAGTACAACCACAACGGAAAACAGTGTGGAGATTCTTTAAAGAACTAAAAGTAGAACTACCATTTGATCCTGCAATCCTACTACTGGGTATCTACTCAGAGGAAAAGAAGTCACTGTAAAAAAAGATATTTGTACATGCATGTTTATAGCAGCACAATTCGCAATTGCAAAAACGTGGAACCAACCCAATGCCCATCAATCAACAAATGGATGTACAAACTGTGCTCTGTGTGTGTGTGTGTGTGTGTGTGTGTGTGTGTACGATGGAATACTACTCAGCCATAAAAAGGAATGAATTAATGGCATTCACAGTGACCAGGATGAGATTGGAGACTATTTCATGTGGAGTAACTCAGGAATGGAAAACCAAACATCGTATGTTCTCACTCAAAAGTGGGAGTGAAGCTATGAGGATGCAAAGGCGTAAGAATGACACAATGGACCTTGGGGACTAAGGGGGAAAGGGTAGGAAGGGGTGAGGGATAAAACACTACAAATAGGGTGCATGGTATACTGCCTGGGTGATGGGTGCACCATAATCTCACAAATCATCACTAAATAACTTACTCATGTAACCAAACACCACCTGTTTCCCAACAAACCATGGAAATAACATTAGAAAAAAAGAGAATTAGCTAACTGGAAGACATGATTATATCAACTTTTAAATAAACGGTTTTAAGAATAAAGAGGCAAAAAAAAAAATACAAACTGACACACACATGATTATATTTTCAGGTAATTATATATGCATCCCCCTCAACTTCCCAGGTAATTATATACACATCCCCGCCCCCAACTTTTTATTGAGACAGGGTCTCACTCTGTCACCCAGGCTGGAGTGTGGTGGCGTGATCATGGCTCACTGCAGCCTCAACCACCTGGGCTCAGTCTCTGATCCTCCTGCCTCAGTCTCCTGAGTAGCTAGGACCACAGGCACATGTCACTACACCCAGGTAATTTTTAAAAATTATTATCTGTAGAGATGGGGTCTCACTATGTTGCCCAGGCTGGTCTTGAACTCCCAGGCTCAAGCGATCCTCCTGCCTCAACCTCCCAAAGTCCTGGGATTATAGGCATGAGTTACTGTGCCTGCCCATGCATCCTCATTTTATAAAAATGCAACATTGGTTTTAACTTTTTAAAGGTATGTGCAGTTTACTTTGCTACCTGAGCTGACAATTAAGATCTAAAAGCAATGAACAAAAAGGCTTGGTGCCCATGAATAGAATTTAGGGCTATAATTAAGTATAATTCAAACAAGTTAATCAGACATATATATGTATAATCGCTATTGCACCACATGATTATTAGGTATAAGAAGCAAATTGTTTTGTAAACGACTGTTACTATGGCTAAATAAATTAGTTTTCTATCTTTTTAAACTTCTCCATGTTATCTGTCAGTTTCAACACTGCTGTTTTTTTCTGATGCCACATACAGACTGATTCTCACTGCACATAAATGGCAAAGTCATTCCTCTGGCTCCCCATCTTCCAGAGACCTCTACCCTGCCTTGACTATATTCTTTTCGACACCTCCCTTGAGCACTGTGGAGTCTTTAGGCTTTCTACTCTCGTCTCACTGAATCTGTGGAGTGCTAGCGGGGCCCTGAGCCACAGAGCAAGGCAGGGCTACCATGGCACAGGAATGGGAGGCCAGACCATAAAGGATGTGGAGACAAAGCAGTACAAAGACACAGGAGAATGGGCTCCTCAGTCAGCAGTTGGGACTATTCAGAGGAAGAACGGCTCTCCAGACGTGGTGACCTCAGCACTGTACCAGGGAATTACTATGCTCTAATCTGGAGAGTTTCTCTTTGTCTGCTTACCTGAAGCAATCCATGAAACCTTCTGTCTCTTTCACACAAATTGCTCTCATGTTAGAAACACCCTGTTGGTGTCCCAGCACTTTGGGAGGCCGAGGTGGGTGGATCACCTGAGGTCGGGAGTTCGAGACCAGCCTGACCAACATGGAGAAACCCCATCTCTACTAAAAATACAAAAATTAGCCAGGTGTGGTGGTGCACGCCTGAGGAATTCCAGCTACTCGGGAGGCTGAGGCAGGAGAATCACTTGAACCTGGGAGGCAGAGGTTGTGGTGTGCCAAGATAGTGCCATTGCACTCCAGCCTGGGCAACAAGAGCGAAACTGTCTCAAAAAAAAAAAAAAAAAGAAACATCCTGTTGGAATTTATGTAGTTACCATATTACCTCCAAATGCAAATTTCATTCACCCTTGCTAAATTTTATCTTTTGGACTTACAGCCATAGTTCCAGCCTATTCAGAAATTTTATCATCAGGGTTCTGTCATCTAACGTAGTAGCCACCTCTAAAAGAATTGGGTAAGAAAATCCTGAATGCCCTTAAAGAACTTGTAATATAGTTGTGTGGCTATTAACTGGAAGTTAGTTACTGTTACCACATGTCCAGGGAGATGACATAGGCAGAAACAGCACCACGCTAGAAGTTAGACAACTTGCCTCCCGGCATGAACTAGCTCTGTGACTTCAGATAAGTATTTGTAGAACTGCAGTTCCCTTACAAGTAAAATGGAATGGAAACAGATAAGCTCTTATTTCTGGAATGAGTTTGTTTTTCATTAAAAGCATCTAGGGGATCAACAAGCAATTTTTAAGAAGGAGGGATGAAGAAAGAGAAGAAAGAATTCCTTTTCATTTCCTTTAAAATCACTCTAGTTACATGTCATTTAACAGCAACGACAAATGCTTTGTGAGGTCAGAGGTAGGGCAGGGCATGATAAGTGAGGGTTCAGGGACTTCTCCAATAATACACAATGGAAGACAGGTCTTCAACAAAATGGATGCTGAGGAGGCTGGCAAGATGGGAAGCCCACTCTGGAGGGAGAACACTGAGAGCTCAAATGCAGAGGTGTGCCTATGAGAGGGCAAGAGGGTCACGATTATACAGGAAAGTTTTAGGCAGGTTTGGAAAAAAAAACTCTGGGGCCAGGCTGTGGAAGCCATGGAATGCCAGGAAGAGAAGTTTGAGGTTTATCCTGAAGAATGGTAGTTTTCCAACTTTTTAACATTACTCCTGAAAGCAGGGGAACCCTTCTCAGTGGAAGTGTGCATGGGCTCCTAGGTTTTCCCACTTGGTCTCCTACTTGCCTCCATGCAGCCCTTAGCCTACTAAACCCCTCTGCCTTTTGAAGCATAGCCTAAAACTACCGCTAAAGCCTGAAGTATGACCTGACTCTTCAATATTCATGCATAATAAAAATAAAGCCCAAACAAAACAAAGCACTGCTATAGAGGGTGGGAATTCCTGAATATTGCTAAATTGGGAAATGGCATAATCAAATATAATCTGATGGTTATGCTAAGTATTAACTGTTCTGGCTAGAGGCATAGAATCAAGTCAGAGGAGTCCTGACATTAGAGGGATAAGATTTTAACTCAGAAGCAGTTGGATATATTTGAAAGTTCCAAAGACTTGTTTCCTATTGTCAAATCCATTTATTTCTGGGTAAAATGACTGTATTGAGATGGTCTACTGCTTCCTTGTCTGGCATTAGGGCAGTTATGATCAATGGGTGGGACTAAAAATCAGATTCCTATTCAGCACAAGGAAAAATTTTCTAACAACCAAGTATTTAACAATGGACCAGGCTGTCTGGCAAGGTAGAGCTTTTAGTGTCTGAAAGCATTCAATCTGAGAATGAATTTATGAATTGGTGGTGTCTTATATTAAATAGGAGGTTGAAATGGAAGACCACTATGGAAGAAAAAAAAAAAAAAACAACTCCATGCATGCTTCAAAACAGGGCAAAGAGGCAGTGAAGAGTGGGGGATCAGGGTTTCTAGAGAAGGGGAGATTATAAATCATTTAGTAGTTACATTACCTTTGCAATTTTCCCCATTTCATAAATGTCTGCTTTCTGATCTTCAATATCCATGAAAGCAGTTTCAATTCTGCTTAGAGTCTGTTCATGATTACTGCAGGTATCTGGGAGTCCTTCAGGGAAGTAGAATCGTGGAATGTTTATGGACAATGGTGCATTCACAACATTATTCACATGGGGAACCGGGGACAGAGGTTGGGGACTACTTGGAGAGGTGGCTGGAGGTGGGAGTGGTGTTCCAGGTTTCTTTTCTGGTTTATTTTGAATCTAAAAGAAAAATAAGATTATGAGACACAAAAAATTTAAACAGCATTCATTTACTGAAAATCCTCATGAGCAATGTAAGAAACCACAATCAGAGACAGGAGAGATTAAGGGCTTCATGTACTCTAAAGGGTGGTAAGCATGTTTCTAGGGAATGCTTACCTGCACTAAATTAATTAATTAATTAATATCTGCCAGTACTCAAGTTTACATAGATTTATGTTTAAAAAAATACATAAGTTTCTCCATCAGCTATTTGGCAGACATTTCAAAAGAATCAAAGAGCAATGTTAGTTGATATATTAAGAATCTCGAGGTGTATTCTCACTCTGTTGGAACTGGATTAATACATTCATTCTGAAGACAGTTCTTGGTCTTTCTGTGACTTTATCTTTCCTTGAACAGGCAAAAACAAGTTCCTTTTAAATATATATATCCAAAAAGTATTTGGGGAAGGGGCTCCTTTTACCTTCTCTAGTTTGACTTTGCTAAGGCAGAATCACTGCCAGCCCCAGATGCTGAGAAAATCTCTGTTAAGAAAATTAAAGCATTTTAATTCTGAAATGTCCCCTACCTGGTTGATTTATTTGCCACTAGGGCCATGCCATTTTCTGCAAGATACACATTTATCTTATTTGTGGTTTGCTCCAATAGGCAAAAACCATGGTCATTGATTTCATCACAATCAAACTCCCTTTACAGTTTAATAACTCATTTAGTTTATATTCTTCTTCTTTTAAAAAAATGATTTGAGGTGGCATACTATAAAGAGACATTAGAAAAGTCAGTAAAGAGTGGCGGGGAGGCAATGAGGAAACTGAGATTGCCCATGATTTAGGAAAAAGGGAGGGGAGGTACACCATTATTCAGGTAGAAATTTATCTTACCAATAAAGACTCAATTTACTTCTGAGATTCTTATCAGAAAAAGCAAAAAAGATTCCATTAGAATTTTCATAGTTCTAATTTCTACTCTTAATTAATGGCCAGACTATCAAGGCTCATGAACATGGTACTGTATTAGATGTTACATAAAGTATGAAAGATGAATATAACTGTTGACTAGCTAAATATATTTTATAGGTATTATGAACACAAAGTATTCAAATGTTCTTCCTTAAATTACTCTAATGCCATCTCTAAAGTTTGAACAATGATATATCTGTAAGAAGTAGATCTATCATATTTCTTCTTAACATATAGGTTTATCATATAATTTTCAACTTCAGGATAAAAATCTTAGCTACCCTTAAAAATGTGAGTTTTATAAAGAGATAAGATTTATTCATATAAATATATGAAAATGGTTAAATCTCCTATTTTTGTCATAATAGCCCAATTTCCCTATATTAATATCTGACATTAATACACAGAATGGAGTCTGCTCATATATTTAAGACTATTAGGGATATGAAGGCCAGTTGTCACACCATGTCTTTGCTACAGTTATCAGGATGTTACCCGTATAAAGCAATAGTCAAGGAAGAAACAGAACAAAGGGAAGTGATGCCAATGAAACATGAAAAACTTAAAACACTGATGGCTTACTGGTCTGTGACCTCAAAATGGTTACTTAACCTTTTGGAATTTCAATAATAAAACAGAAATTACAATGTCTACTTCTTAGAAGGTTGTTGTGAGGATTAAAGGAAATTGTAAGATGTAATATAGGTAAAAGATTCAGAACAGTGCTGGGCAGAGATCTATCTATCATGTAAGAAAATGAATGACAATACCAAAGGATGAGATTCTCAAAAAAATTAGATGAAGCGTAATTGGGCATAATCCTTCAGATTCAATAATAAATAAAATAATCATTTACATATGTAAAGCAATTTGAAGTTTATAAACCAGTTTTGAGTTAACAAATTGACAATCCATTTTAAGTCAACATTTCTCTCTGCCTCAATGCTAAATCTGTAAATATTACATAGTCCCAGAAGTCAATACGTTATTATTGTTCAGAGTGTTCTTAAAATTCTAAAGTAAGGCACAGAATTCTTCAGGGGCTTTACCTAGACCATTTATATTAGTGTCATTCCTTTCCATTATTCTATGCTGAAAGAGATTTGTGAGGTACAGGTGTACAATCACCAATGTTTTCTGTGGTGTGACATCTAGGGCAGTTATGCCCATAGAATTAAGACCACTGGTGCCAGTAGGGATGAAACCTGAGCGTCTCATGAATACACACTAGTGGGAAAGGTTTAGAGCAAGGTCTTCAATGTTAACTCTCTGCTTTTGCTTTGACAGAAATAAGTGATACTCAGAACACTGGCTGCCAAAGATTTTATTTGAATGGGAAAATATCTCATTATAAAATATTCTGTTCTGCTTTTCTTAGTGTACTTAACACAGAGCAATTCACTGATAGGCAACTATTTATTAATTCACTGGTCAATTCCGTATTTAATAAAACTGATGCTAATATTTAAAAGGAAAATAACACTAAAATAATGCATTTATTTTGAGCTTTTGGGTACTCAATTTACTTTTCATTGAGTTCTACAGGAGACATATAATTTAAACCTTAAAGTAGCTGAATAAAACTGGTTGTTTACAAACATTATGGAAGAAAACCTAGCAATAAAAATTCTGCCAAATTTACTGGCAAGTTTAGCATCTGCTCACTTTGGATACAGTGGTTTCAGTCCAGTCTAGGAGCAGCATTAGAATATAATTAGTTGGGTAAAGTATTTCAATTCTCCATTTCAGTCTTTTGCTATAAACACAGTATCACTTAGATATTCATTCAGAATAGTTTCCTTGTGCTATTATGTCACTGTAGCATTTCCAATATTTGATCATTTTTGACCTACAAAAAAAGCAATTTCATATTTACCCAAATAATTTGAGATTATTCTGGGTCAGAATAACCATAAAACTATGGTTTCTTGCCGGATTTTGGATGGCCATCATTTGTACAGTCCTTGATTTATATTGTAGTCCATGTTAGGCACTTGTTTGGTGAAACACTGCCATAGATTTTAAGCAAGCAAGTAGGGACTCTGTAAAATACTCATCATAGGCAGAAATGACTCAATTGCACAGCCTGCTTAGGGAAGACATTTTTTCACAATCTAGAAGTAACCACCATTCTTTGCTATCTACATACATTACGACACACACATACACAATTGTCTATATAGACAAATATGTCTTGTTTTTAAAAAAGATTACCAGGATTAACATACTTTGTAAACAAACATTTGTTACAGATGTGTATGCACACTAATATATAATCTACTGATTCAAAGTGCAAACAAGGCTTTTAATACAGAAATTCTAATTTCTCAAGGATATTTCTATTAAAAATTCCAGTAATTTTCTAGCTAAATTGTAAAACATTCATTAAGTTGTATTTGTTGTCTCTAAAACTGGATTCCTTCTCCACAAGAGAAAAATGTGAGTACTGTACTCCAGGTCCAAAAGGTCTATTTTTAAACCTGTTGGAATCCCTCTGCAAATAGCTTTCTGCAAATAGCTGAATAGAGGACACACATTAATTCCTTGATCTAATATCAAGATACAAGGGAGCTGTAAAATTATTTGTGAGTTAGTTCACTGGATGGTTTTATTAGTAATAAAAATATTAAAAAAAAAAACAAAACACCCAAATTTCAAACCTGTGTCTGCTGAAATGACTTCAGCCGCTTCTTAAACCGTGAAGGGAGAACAAAATCACAGCCCCTTGCCAGGAAAGCTAGCTCTCCCCTTAAATCCGGGTCCCTTCGTAGAGATGTTTCCTTGATCATCATCTTTGAAAAGTGAATGTTTACTTCGCAACTGTCCAGCACACTTCTGAAGATAATCAGATTTAGCAAGTTGTCAATCTTGTCAGGTAGGAAGATTTTTTTCTTCTTATCTCCCAAAGAAATGAAATTCAAGCATTGTGCTCTCCCAGCCTCCACGGACCACAATCTATGCTTGTCCTGACATGCAGCTGGTTCCCAAATACAGTCTGTGGCTCCCAATACCTGTTCATAATTTTCAAGTTATAAACACAGCCTGCAACGGGCCTGTTGCTCCTTGTTGGAAGCTTTATGTCAAATTGACCTGCACATGTTGAGAATATGGAGCCTTCTGGGAAAGGAAGCACCCACTACTCTGCGTACCAAAGTTAGAAACATTACAGCTGGACCTAAAAATAGTACCTTCTCAGATAATGCTAACTTCTTAAACTCAGAGTATGTGAGGTGTCAATCCACATAAAGCAGTTTCTTTTCAAACTAGAAGAAAAAGTGCATGTAGAACATTTTCAGCTTTTTCTCTTTAATATTTTATAAAAAAAAGAACAGGATAATGAACTTTGAATTTGAAACTATTATTTTAAGAATAGTTTTTTATTTTTTATTCGAAGCAAAGTAAATATCCAAAACTTTCCAGATCTCTCCCAGTCAAAATAAGAGGAAAAACAGAAACTTTCACTCTCAAATGGGAATTTACAAAAAGATCTGTTGATCTCAGACTTAACATTTTTTAAAGCAAAAGACTATCTTAGTTATCAAACATTTTCTTGAACTGATTATGAACATACTGAAAATTTGTTCTCAGAAGTATTGGTTAAGAAAGTAGAACAACTGAATGCCATAGAAAATAAGTTTTAGATACATATAAGCAAGTCAAATGTGGCTAAAACAAAAAGGACAGAAAAGATGATCAAACAGCAATGACATAGTACATACTGAATTTGTAAGATTTCTCCCTTTGAGAAGCTTTAAAGAAATCAGTTAAGATTTTTAAAATACCTATTATTTCATCATATATTAAATATCTGCCTCATATAGTTATTTGTAAGTGAATCATAAAGTAAAGTCATCCTTTGGTAACTGTGGGGGATTGGTTCCAGGACCCCCCACGGACCAAAATCCATGGCTGCTCAAGTCTCTTATATAAAATGTGTAATATTTGTATACAACCTACTCACATTCTCTCATATACTTTAAAGCATCTCTAGATTACTTGTAATACCTAATACAATATAAGTCTTATGTAAATAGCTGTTATACTCCATTGTTTAGGAAATAATGACAAGAAAAAAGAAGTCTATACATACCCAATACAAATGCAACCATATTTTTTCCCCAAATCTTTTCCAACTAGATGCAGAACCCATTGATACAGAGGGCTGTTTTCTCTCACATTTAATATTTAGATTTCAATATTTATTTTCAATCAACCACATCAACCAGCATTTATTTTCTATATCTAGAAAACATACACCAAATATTATTAAAACAAAACAAAACAAAACAAAAACAGCTTACAACCCTCTTTTACTGAACCTTTGTCTAATTTAGTGGAAATTAAATTATTTGGTTTTCCACTATTTCCTACAAATTTAAGTCTGCTTTATCCCACTGATTTCTTTTCAAGACATTGACAACTCTTTATAATGTATACATTAGGCTTATGTGTCTAAAGCTGTGTTTTAAAGAATTTCTTTTAAGTGGCAGAGTCTTCTGTTCACATCAAATTTTATCTGAAAGCTTTTGATATGTACTATGATTGAAAGAGGATTACAACTGAAAACCACTGGTCTTATGCTTCATCCTGGGCCTTTCCTTATATTCTCAATTTTCTCTCTCACTGGGCTTCCATGTTAATTCTTTGAGGCAGGTGGCTTTCCCAAATTTTTCCCTTACACTCCTGACTAGAATACTCTTTTTCTCCCTCATTATTTATCTCCTAAATAAAATGTCAAAAAGGTATGTAGGAATGCAACTAGGCCTTTAGACTTACAATTTAATGCTTATTCTATTAAATCACACTTTAAATTATATTTCCCCTCCTTCCCAAAACCAACCTGTGGCTTTAGGTGAGCAGGTTCATTCCTTTCCTGAGAATGCTCCCTTTCCTCAAATTATACATTCTAATCATCTTTCAAGATCCAACTCAAAATTTAACTATTTCATGAAGGCTTCCTGATTATTTAAGTCCCCTTACTGTAATTCTTAACTTTATATATACAGCACTTAGTGAAATACTATATAATCTCTCTCAAATGACCTCCACTTAACATATTATCTTATTCAGCCAATGCTCTCCATTTCTCCTGTGAAACAGAGCAACCAATGCCCATCACACATGGATTTGTGGCTAATAGCTTCTCTTACACTCTCATATTTCTTACCTTACTAGTTGGGTTGTGTGCTAAGAGTCAGCTGCATTTGTCCTCAGTCTGTTTATGCTGGTTGTACTTTTCACAGTAACTACTCAATTCAATTACATGAACTGACAAAATGTAAGCGTGGAAAAGAAAAGTTGTTCTAAAATGTAAAAAACCCCTAACTTTTAGTAAAAGTAAACTACTAAAAAGATTTTGTTGTTAAAATTAGGTAAGGGTGGGATGAAAGAGAAAACTCACTAAAGTTTAGAAGGTGTCTACATTCAAACTGCTTTACTATTACGTTCTCTCTCTAAAGAAACTAAAACCACAAATCAGACAACAAACATATTATGAGTGTGATTTATCAAAGAAATATCTCACAGAACTCTAATTATGTATGAGACTCATTCTCAGAGAAAAGGCTTTGACCCTGTATCAAAAGACATCAGAATAAATTAATGCCTGAGTTCAAATGTTTCTATACACATTTTATAGTACACACACATATAGTTTATGATTCCCTACTAGCAAACTCAATCATGTTCAGGTAAAAGGGCTTCTACTGTAATATTTTATAACTTGATAATTATTTTCCAGTAGCGTCTAAACTCTTGAGGACAAGAGTTTAGATTTTAATTTTATAGTCATTCAATTACTCAACAAATATTTGTATATATAATCACGTATATGCCAGACACTTTGCAGGATATGAAGCTAGAGAGATGATAAAGATGTGGCCTCTTCTTTTTCTTACTGCACTTTCTACTACAATGTTGGTTTGGAGCAAAGGACAAGAAATACTTTCATTTAATCGACTTCCTATAAATCTGCTAAGTTTCAAAGTCAGAACAGTGGTTAAAAGCCTGCCCTGTTATTATACTCTTAAGCAAGAAAATATTTCTTCATGTCTTTTGATGAAGAAATAATCTGTAAGTTTTGATATATCAAAATGTTTTCCAAAAAATTCAGAGAAGCAAAAAGACCAGGACTACTAAAGGGCTTAGAAAAGAACTGGTCTGTGGCAATGAGTTACTGACAGAGGAAGACTAGCATGAAGTTGGTTTATTTGCTTTTTACTTATTTACTTGTGTTTGAATGGAAGTATTAATATATGTGCTTGGTTTTTGAAAGGATCTGAGAACACGAATTAGTTTCAAGGAGTTCATGACAACTGGAATATAGCACCAAAGAACATGGTTTTTAGAGAGACCTTTTCTAGGAAAAGATCAAATATAGGGGAATTTCACTACAGAGAAATAAATGATCTGTGATCTACTCTCTTCTCTCTCTGCTTTGATCACAAGGGAATGTACAATCCATGGTGCTGGGAATTGTAAGAGAAAAGCTGTTTTGGGGTGAGAGGTTTCTCCTGCAGGAACTAACCAGAATTGAGGAAAAATAGAGACTCATAAACACTTAGGTTATAAATTGTTTGAGCACATGGAAAATTAGGAGCTGTGTGCAGTTACAATGGAAAGAGCCATTGTAAAAGTTTTCTGAATGTCTTTCTGGAATAAACTAAAAAATCTTTTCTCCTGCTCCCTGCAGCATACAATTAAGTCCGTCCTAACAAGCTAGCTGATTACCACCAGTAGGCACTTCCTGCACAGCTGCCTGCATCTCTTCTTGGCCTGCAGATCACTCACGAACTTTGCCTGACTGAAGACACAGGCAAGTCCTATCTGGACCATGTGCTCAATCTGAGTCTTCAGGATGACAACGATAAGAGAGCTTCAGCAGGCAAGAGACTGGTGCTCTCTGCTGTGGGGGTGACTGGAACACATCAGTTGTTAATTCAAGATCCAGCTGTCTTGGTCTGGGGTTCCTTTCCTGCCTTACCATTCCATGTATCTTTCTCCAAACAAGCATGCTTGGGCAAGGGAGACAGCCTTTCTCAAAAAGAACCAGGTAGGGTAGGCTGCTAGGCATGAGTTTTACAAGTTCCCTCTGGCAGAGTTATATGGAAGAGAAGCTGGCCTCTCCACTATGACCCTAAAAACGAATTTTTTTTTTCTTTTTTAGGATAACCTCTAACATACTAAGCGAGAAAAGATGCTCCCTTACCCTATACTAAAAGGACCTACAAAACTGAGGAATAAGTTTAAAATGAGCCTGTACCCCGAAGGAAGGTGAGATTGGGTAGGAGACAGAGGAGAACAAAACTGTGAGACACGACACATTCTATATTTATAGAATTCATTCTGTTAGGCTTAGTTTGAAATTTAGGACAGATTTCTTAGAACTTTCTGAATCCCCTTACTATTCTCCTTGCCCTTCGCCCTTTGAAAACGAAGACAATAGTGATTTATAATATTAATTCTTTCTTTCTGGGGAAATCAGCTACATGGGATGTTTTAGGAAAAAATGGGTTGAATACACAGGATAAAGAAAATAATTTTGAACATTAGTCTGAAGAAGTCTCTTATTCTGATTTGTGTATAACTGTTAAAAAACAGTATTATAATGCAATGTGTTGTACCAAAGTAAGTCTAGCCCTTTATTTTATTTTTTTGAGATAGGGTCTTCCTCTGTTGTCCAGGTTGGAGTGCAGTGGCATGATCTTGGCTCACCACAACCTCCGCCTCCCTGGCTCAAACTATTCTCCCACATCAGCCTCCTGAGTAGCTGGGACTACAGGCGCATGGCACTGTGCCCAGCTAATTTTTGAATTTTTAGTAGAGACAGGGTTTCGCCATGTTTCCCAGGCTGGTCCTGAACTCCTGGGCTCAAGCAATCTGCCCACCTCAGCCTCTCAAAGTGCTGGGATTACAGGTGTGCGCCACTGTGCCTAGCCTAGCCCTTTATTTTATATATAAACATGTAAAATCATTCAACAGCCTCAGTTGAATGTAGTTATGGAGACTGAGATGATAGCATCAGCTAAGGCCTTAGAGTAGGAAGGGCAGTTGGGATAACGCAGGCAGCAAAACTATAAAAATCTAAGTGACAGAAACACATAGCACAGTGAGGCTGGGAAATCAGCTAAGTGAGGACCTGTATTGAGGTGAGTGTTAGAAGCAGGTCCAGAAAGACAGCACAGCCACTCTGAAGTGACACCAAAGACAGAGAGTCACTCTGAAGTGACATCAAGGGATTTTGCTCAGAAGATGCTACCAAAAAAAAAAAAGTTACATATTGAAGTGGAGGTCACGGTACATCATGAGGTTGCTTCTGATTAACAAAAGCCAGCCAGCTGTTTGGAAAAATCTAAATATGTTAACACCCTGTCTTTGTCGACACAAAAACTTATATACATATGTTCATAGTTGCATCATTCATAATAGCCAAAAAGTGGAAACAACCCAAATGTCCAGAAAATGAATTTTATCTCAATTTTTAAAAAGCCTTCTCATGTTGTAGTTCTAACAGGCTGAGTAGCGTAAAAAGGTAATAACAGAGTGAATAATCAAGGAAAACTTCCCTGGCGTTGCTAGAGATCTAGATATCCAAATCACCTGGGAAATTCACTGCAAAAAGATCATCACCTAGGCACACAGTCACCAGGTTATCTAAAGTCAAAATGAAGGAAAAAATCTAAAGAGCTGTGAAGTAAAAGCATCAGATAACTTTAAGAGGAAAACCTCTCAGATTAACAGCAGATTTCTCAGCAGAAACCCTACAAGCTAGAAGGGATTGGGGTCATATCTTTAGCCTCCTTAAACAAACAATTATCAACCAAGAATTTTGTATCCAGCTAAACTAGGCTTCATAAATGAAGGAAAGATAGTCTTTTTCAGACAAACCAGTGCTGAGATAATTCACCACTACCAAGCCAGCATTACAAGAACTGCTAAAAGGGGTTCTAAATCTTGAAATAAAACCTCGAAATACACCAAAATAGAACCTCCTTAAAGCATACATTTCACAGGGCACATAAAATAATAACACAACAAAAAACCCCCAAGGTATTCAGGCAACAACTAATATGATGAATAGAATAGTACCTCATATGGCAACAGTAAATGGCCTAAATGCTCCACTTAAAAGATGCAGAATGGATAAGAATTTACCAACCAAGTATCTGCTGTCTTTAAGAGACTCACCTTATGTATAAGGACTCACATAAACTTAAGGTAAAGGGGTGGAAAAAGATATTCCACGCAAATGGACACTAAAAGTGAGCAGGAGTAGCTATTCTTATATCACATAAAACACACTTTAAAGCAACAACAGTCAAAAAAGACAAAGAGGGACATTATATAATGATAAAAGGACTAGTGGAAAATATCACAATCCTAAATATATATGCACCTAACACTGGAACTCCCAAATTTATAAAACAATTACTACTAGACCTAAGAAAGGAGACAGACAGCAACACAATAATAGTGGGGACTTTAATACTCCACTGAACGCACTAGACAGGTCATCACATCAGGAGGTCAACAAAGAAACAATGGACTTAAACTATACCCTAGAACAAATGGACTTAACGGATATTTATAGAGCATTCTACCCAACAACTGCAGAATATACATTCCATTCATCAGCACATGGAACATTCTCCAAGATAGACCATATGATAGGCCACAAAACAAGTCTCAGTAAACTTAAGAAAACTGAAATTAAATCAAGTACTTTCTCAGACCAAAGTGGAATAAAATTGGAAATCGACTCCAAAAGGAACCCTCAAAACCATGCAAATACATGGAAATTAAATAATCAGTTTCTGAATGATTGTTGCGTCAACAATGAAATCAAGATGGAAATTAAAAAATTCTTTGAACTGGACAATAATAGTGACATAACCTATCAAAACTTCTGGGATACAGCAAAAGTGGTGCTAAGAGGAAAGTTCACAGCATTAAATGCCTGCGTCAAAAAGTCTGAAAGACGACAAATAGACAATCTAAGGTCATACCGCAAGGAACTAGAGAAACAAGAACAAACCAAACCCAAACCTAGCGAAAGAAAAGAAATAACAAAGATCAAAGCAGAACTAAATGAAATTCAAACAACAACAAAAAATACAAAAGACAAATGAAACAAAAAGCTGGTTCTTTGAAAAGATAAACAAAATTGACAGACCATTAGAGAGATTAAACGAGAAAAGGAGAGACGATCCAAATAAGCTCAATTAGAAATGAAACAGGAAATATGACAACCGATACCACAAAAATACAAAAGATCATTCAAGGCTACTATGAACACCTTCATGCACACAAACTGGAAAACCCGGAAGAGATGGATAAATTTCTGGAAATACACAACCCTCCTAGATTAAACTAGGAAGAAACAGAAACTCAACAGACCAATAACAAGCAAAGAGAGTGGTAATTTAAAAAATTGCCAACAAAAAAAAAGTCCAGGACCAGATGGATTCACAGTTGAATTCTATCAGACATTCAAAGAATTGGTACCAATACTATTGAAACTATTCCAAAAAACAGAGAAAGAGGGAATCCTCCCTAAATCATTCTATGAAGCCAGTATCACCCTAGTATCAAAACCAGGAAAGGACATAAAAAAACTACAGACCAACATCTCTGGTGAACATAGATGCAAAAATCTTCAAGAAAATACTAGCTAACTGAATCCAACAGCCTATTAAAAAGATAATCCACCATGATCAAGTGGGTTTCTTACCAGGGATGCAGGGATGACTTAATATACACAACTCAATAAATGTGATACACCACATAAAGAGAATTAAAAACAAAAATCACATGATCATTTCAAATAGATGTGAAAAACGCATTTGACAAAATCCAGCATCCCCTTATGATTAAAACCTCAGCAAAATTGGCATAGAAGGGACATACCTTAAGGTAATAAAAGCTATCTACAACAAACCCACAGCCAACATTATACTGAACAGGGAAAAGCTGAAAGGACTGCCCCTGAGAAGTGGAACAAGACAAGGATGCCCACTTTTACCACTTCTATTCAACGTAGTACTAGAAGTCCTAGTCAGAGCAATCAGGCAAGAGAAAGAAATAAAGGGAGGAAGTCAAACTGTTGCTGTTTGCTGATGATATGATCATACACCTGGAAAACCCTAAAGACTGATCCAAAAGGTCCTAGATCTGATAAATGAATTCAGTCAAGTTTCAGGATATAAAATCAAAGTACACAAATCAGTAGCACTCCTATACACCAACCGAGTCCAAGCTGAGAATCAAATCAAGAACTCAATCCCTTTCACAATAGCTGCAAAAAAATAAAATAAATAAAATACATAGGAATATACCTAACCAAGGAGGTGAAAGACCTCTGCAAGGAAAACCACAAAACACTGCTGAAGAAATCACATATGACATAAACAAATGAAAACATATCCCATGCTCACGGATGGATAGGATCAATATTGTGAAAATGACCATTCTGCCAAAAGCAATCTACATATTCAATGCAATCCCCATCAAAATACCATCATCACTCTTCACAAAATTAGAAAAAACAATCCTGAAATTTATATGGAACCAAAAAAGAGCCCACATAGCCAAAGTAAGACTAAGCAAAAGAACAAATCTGGAGGCATCACATTACCTGACTTCAAACTACACTATATTGCTATAGTCACAAAAATAGGCACATAGACCAACAGAACAGAATAAAGAATCCCAGAAATAAAGCCAAATACTTACAACCAACTGATCTTTGACAAGCCAAATAAAAACATAAAGTGGGGAAAGGACACCCTATTCAACAAATAGTGCTGGAATAATTGGCAAACTACATGTAGAAGAATGAAACTGGATCCTCATTTCTCATCTTACACAAAAATCAACTCAAGATGGATCAAGGACTTAAATCTAAGACCTGAAACCATAAAAATTCTAGAAGATAACATTGGAAAAAACCTTCTAGACATTTGCTTAGGCGAAGACTTCATGACTAAGGACCCAAAAGCAAATGCAACAGAAACAGAGATAAACAGATGGGACTTAATTAAACTAAAAAGCTTCTGCATAGCAAAAGAAATAATCAGCAGAGTAAACAGACAACCCACAGCGTGGGAGAAAATCTTTGTAAACTATGCATCTGACAAAGGGCTAATATCCAGAATCTACACAGAACTCAAACAAATAAGCAAGAAAAAAACAAACAATCCCATCAGAAAGTGGGCTAAGGACATAAATAAAACAAGTCTTAAGAGAAGACATACAAATGGCCAACAAATATATGAAAAAACGCTCAACATCACTAATGATCAGCGAAATGCAAATCAATACCACAATGCGATACCACCTTACTCCTGCAAGAATGGCCATAATTTAAAAAATCAAAAAAGAGTAGATATTGGCATGGTGGTGAAAAGGGAACACTTTTACACTGCTGGTGGGAATGTAAACTACTACAATCACTCTGGAAAACAGTATGAAAATTCCTTAAAGAACAGAAAGCAGATCTACCATTTGATCCAGCAATCCCACTACTGCGTATCTACCCAGAGGAAAAGAAGTCATTATACAAAAAAGATACTTGCACACTCATGTTGATAGCAGCACAATTTGCAATTGCAAAACTATGGAACCAGCCCAAACGCTCAGCCATCAATGAATGGATAAACAAAATGTGATACATACACATACGTGCACACACACACACACACACACAACCAT